GCTAACACACTCTCCACCGATCCCCATGTTCGAAAAACCAAACGACGTTTAATTAGAAATAAATAACGTGATCAGCCATATGATAGTTTCTTTAAATATGCTCAAATAACTGGAAATAAATATAATATTTTAACACGTTCTCAATACGGGGAAGCCGTTGATAATCAAAGCTTCTACGGCAACTTCGATCAAATAAAATATCCAGGGTAACTTACTGTCGCAAAATCCGGACGTGGCTGAACGACAGCTGTGTGTTTTTTTGTTTTTTTGTTTTTGCCTTGTTCTTCTCGTCATGCGATGTTCGGGGGAGTTTAGTGGGAAAAACATTGAGAGAGATTCACAGGGTTGCCAGATAGCTCCTAGCTGATATAGCCAAATGGCTAGTCAGTGTAGCCCAAAAGTAGCCGAAAATTTGCATAGCCCAAAAGTAGCCAAAATTTTTACATTGCGCTTACAAGCTCAAGGCAAAATTTCTGATACTGTATATGTTTAGGTGAGAGATAGTATGCAAAATCAAAGTATTACAATATTCAGAAAACAGTTTTATTTCAAATAATAAACCAAAAAGCTAATGTGGACACATTTGGACAGTCTCGTGCTATGAACAATATTATTAGGAAGCATTAATCCCACTCGTATTAGCTCCGTGGAGTACATTAGAGTTGAACCGAGCGAAACATTCTTCGGAATGCTTAACATTTTTGCAACACTTATTCCTCCCTAAGAAAAAAAAAAACACTTCACATGAAGGATGCTCTCCAGGGTTGCTTCAGACATCTTACAGTATACAGAGGGAAAGGGAACAATTTCGCGGTTATCGGGGAAAAATTGGACATAGCCCAAAAATAGCCGCACGTAGCCACATAGCCGACCGCCAAATTTCGACGCCAAACCTATCACTAGGTAGCCCAATTTGGCTATTAATAGCCCAATCTGGTAACCCTGGAGAATGGAGATTCAGTCCGAGGAGGGACTCTGAAGTGGAGAGACATGGAACCGTCCACGTCGAGTCCGGGAGGTGCGACAGGCAGCGAGCCAGGTCCAGGCAGGGGAAGCCTTCATCGAAGTGTGCGTGTGTGTGTATGATCGGCCTTCTCGAGCCCACTGGGTCCACCCCCCCTCTCCCCCCTGAACAGTGCATTGCAAGATGCCGTCACTCCCGGACACTGGAGACACTCCCCCCGCGCTCTCTCTCTCTCTCTCTCTTTTAGTATTCCGTAATTAATTTCGAATTGGTTTTAGTCAAGGGTTAAATTGTTTTGTGTTCGATTCTCTGCTGATGTCTAGTATTTTTGCATTGGTCACCGCTCCGTCGGCCAAGTGAAGAACCCCGGAAACTTGTTTGTGGACGTGTCATCACCGCCTGTGAGCCTGGTGTTTGGTTTTCTCATATGCGAAGCATTATTTTTAATTAAACTTTCATTTGATTTAAACTTTGTGTTGCGTCCCATTCATCGGCAAGATTCCACCAGAGAACAAACCAATCGCCCGGTCGGCAGTGTATTTTTTTTTTTTTTTTAATATAAAATGTAAAAATTAAATGCGAACTTCGGACACTCCCTTCCTCTCCCACCCGCTTTGCATTGATCCCGAGGCGATCCTTTGCATAGTTCGGAAAGAGAGAGAGAGAGAAAGACGGTCCTAAGAGTGATAGGCATATAATTAGATTTCAGTCAGCCGAGTAAGACATGTGAGGCTCGGGGCGTTGGTCTTCCACCAAAGACCAACCCAGAGATCTCCAGAAGTGTGTTCTGGACGGGCGCCGACCTAGACGCCTGTTCTCGGATGAGCCCGCCCGCCCTAGTCATGTTCACCGAGAGTGCATTGAACATCGACGTCTCCGTTGATTGATGTTCCACCAATATAAGCTAACGATACCCTTAGAAATCATGAAAAAAAAAAAAAAGACTAACAGCAAGGAAAAAGACAGCCTGATAAAGGGACTCATTAATTTGCACCCGTTTTTAATTATGAGTAGTAAGGCAAACTGCCATGTGTGGGTGGTATGCGAATACCGATTCGAATGGAATAGCGCAGTGTCGTGTCTTTCCCTTCCACTGTGAAGGTTATGAGTAGGGAGTATTCGTAGATTGTTTTCGCAGGCCCGCAATTCTCTTCGCAACCCCGGTACGACCCCCGGAACTCTACAGTCAAGACCATCGGCGCTGGCGCACTAGCGGCTTTTTTGTTGCGGAGAGCTCAGCCGGAGGGGGAAACGCGGTTTATGAAAACTTCCTAATGACGCAGTGCTTTTCGATCGATCCGGTACTGGCACACCCGTACAATGCTTTTTTTTTTTTAATTGTTTTTTTTAGGCGTTTTTTTTTTTTTCAGTTTTGTTGTGGCGCGAAAGCATCTCCTTTTACTACTACGCGTGCAAACCCGTATGTTTCGCTGCACCGTCACACATATCTAAAAAAAAAAAAAAAAAAAAAAAAGAAAACGAAGGTTTTTTTTGTTTTTTTTTTAGCTACTTTTTCTTCGAATTTAGTAAAATCACGCCTCCAAACTGATTCCTTTTCCCGCTTAGGTTCGTCTTGTGTTCTCATGGAAGATAAGGAGGTGAATACAATCTGAGGGTGTGAACAAATCCGCATCGAGAAAGGATAGAACGGTACAGACACAACCAGGTCGCACGGTTTTGTCATCATCAGTCCTCTGTTCAGTCACGGTGACCTCCGTCCCCCTTTCCCCTTCCGTCTGGGTTTTCCAAGTGACGAAGTGATACCGCTTTCAGCGACTGCCCCTCGCTTACTTTCAGCTCGGCAACTTTAGGGGGCAAAAATGCCCTGGCCCCATTCGTGCCACAAAGCGTCGGTCAAGGTCGACCGTCCATGCGCTAAAATTTTACATTTCTTCGGAGTGGTCAGCCGTCAATCGTCCTGCCGGTGTGATCTGTGGAAGTTCAAAGTTGTGCCACGCAGTTTGTTTCAGCAGCTTGATGACTGTGTAGCGATGGGCGGTGAGTCGGGAGGATCCACGTTGCTTTTGGTGCTTTTTTCCTTCGTCGTGTTTAAGCCTGGTTCAGACGGATGCGTTGCTTGTGTTCAGAGCGACCAGGGCGACAAAGTCACAGAAGTGTTCGCCGTAAAAAAACGTGCCAAGCAATGTGAAAGGTAGCTTCGTGAAGCAAACATCAGCTGCGGCCGTTCCGGTCGTTGCTGTCGTTTGGGTTGCACTGGACACAGCCGACACAAATGTGTGACCCAGCCTTTAGCCTGCTGCTAGAATTCACCTCATTTGAGAGATACCGCGTGATGTAAGTATCTGTTTTAGCTGGACGGGTTCAGCTTCGCGTTTGCAACGTGGGACTACGGCTAGCTCATGGGTTTCAAGGTGAAAACATCTTTGATGTTGGCGGTGTAGTCTCTCTTGGACTACTTATTCAACCTAGAGTACGGTGAGCGGCTTATTGATACAGGATTGAGGTTGCGCTGTCACCGCACGCAATTTGCTTTAGTTCAGTCAGGGTGACGCTCCTGTTTTTGGTCAAACGTACGAACGCTAATTCATCTTTGAGCCCTATATTTATTTGAATGGTTTCCAGTGAAGTTACGTGTTTTTAAGGCGAACACAGTATTTTGAAGCTGTGCATATGTCGAAAAAAGAGAGAAAAAAAAACACGGAGACAACATTAGGAGTATCGTTTGCTCACCGCGTGTTTTTTGTATAAAATTTGGGGTTTGAAAAACGTCCCATCATAGTGCGAAAGCACGTGCCATCATAATAACTCGTGAAGATGCCCTCTTGTACAATGCAAATATTTTGTATCGCCTGTTCTAAACTGTGCTAGTTAATTTTACTTCTTTCAAATTCTCCTTGATAATTTCCATCAATATTCAAACCTCCTGATGCCAGTGTTGCTTGACCGGGTTTTGAAAAGGGCCTAAAGCGCGAAACACATGCGCGGAAAAACCATCCGATCCGGCAGTACGACTGCCTGATCCGAAAAATTTGGTCGCTTCAGACGTCGGATCGGCGATCCGACGTGCGTCCAACGCGCCAGATAGTTTCGCACGGCGGACCGATTGTCGGATGCGTCCAGTCAATGACAGCACGGCTAACGCGAACGTCATGATGACGTACTGGGTCTGTTGGGACGGGCGACGGAAAGCCGGACGCGTGGATCCCGCCGCTGACCCATTCGAGAAAGATGGCCCCGGCAAAGAATGCACGCGCTAACGAGAACGGGCTTCTAACTTCGCTTGCGTTAGCTAAACCGTCAATCTGGGACCAGAGATCCGTGAACGCGGACCTTCGCTGGAGTGCTTGAATCTCCTGGGCGGAGCCTAACGGATCGTCGTGTCGCATGCAAGGTCGGAAGCGTGTGTCTCAAACTGTCGCGTGCGGCGATTCGGAGCGGCGTTCGGACTGTCGGATCGGACGATTCTACCGTCCATGTGTCTCGTGCTTAAGACCGTTTTCATAAGTCCATCAAGTTCAGTGCTACAGCACAACCCGAACATAAAAATCTGCATACATATGTAGTGCCGAACACCAACCTTCTCTCTCCACATTGGTTCCGCTTCCTCTACACGGGTAGCGTTGATATCCATTTTAGTCGTGTAAGAAAAAAAAAAAAAATGCAGGTAGTGATCGTATTTTGTATGTCTATAGATAATTAGGCCGGTTTGTTTTTAACGCCTTTCTGTTATCTGCATTCTAAGATCTCAAATTTCGCTTTTCTTTTTTATAAAATACTTGCACAACTACAGCTACGTTTTTGTCTGGCAGGTGCAACCGCCGTGGTTTGCTCCTTTCCTGCTAAAGCCTCTGCGTATAGCGAGTCTTGTTGAACCAGAAATTCACAGTTGAATTTTGCTGTATTAGTACCAGAAAACTTGACTCGTGTGTGTGGACAGGTTGAGTTTTGTAAGTGATCGGAGATATTTTTAGCTTCAGAATTCAATACGCCGTTCTTCCATCTTTTTCTAGTGTCACTACTGACCTGACTTCCATTTCACATGTTTAATTAAGGTGTCCACTTTGTAACCCAGGTGGGACCAGCCTTCTGGGCGTTGTCATGGTTGCTGTCGTCATGGTCCTTACTCGTCCGAGCGCATCCGAGCCCAGTCCCCAAGGCACGGGTCGTGCGGACTTCTGCGTGGGTAGACCCTACGGTTTCTACGCCGATGTTCCCGCAGGCTGCCGATCCTACTACATCTGCAACCCGCAGCTCATCTTCGGCAAGACCGTCACCCGCCAGTTCCATTACGACTGCTCTCCGGGCAAGGTGTTCGATCAGCTGCACCTCACTTGCGTGTCCGCGGCCAAGGCGGCCGAGGCGTGCGCTCTTGCCGAAGGACACTACGGATTGAACGAGGCGTTCACCCTTCGCACGGCCATGCTTGCCTCCAGGACGACGTCCAGCAGCTTCAGTTGCGACGGGCGTGCCGACGGTTCCTACGCTGACGTAAGGTCTGGATGCGGATCTTACTTCGTCTGCAGTCGTATCCAGCTCGCCCAAAGCCCCCAGAAGCCGCAGGCCATCGGCTTCAGACTCTCCTGTCCGTTGCCCACGGTGTTCGACCAGCAGTCCGGAGCCTGCACTTACCCCGACCTCGCCGTTCCTTGCGAACACTCTGAGAAGTTGTACAAGCCCCGCATCGAACCGGACACCGTGCAAGGAGAACGGAGCACACCCGTCAACCTCTCTCCCAGGGGCGACCTGCCTCTCCTCAACATGCCGGAGGACTCTGTGTTCGCCAGTCAAGTCGGGAATAAGTTGCTCTCCTCCGAGGTGGTTCTGGCGGGACTAGGCTTGGAGCGGACGATGGCCTTCCACGCTGTCACTGCTTCTAACGGTGAGCCCGTGGCGTATCCACCGTCTTCGAACTTCAGCTGCGACGGTCGGATGTACGGCTACTACGCGGACGTCGAACTGCAGTGTCGGTACTTCCACGTCTGCACGGTCAAGGCAGGAGTGGACGGGAAGCGTGTCTACGAGAGGCATTCCTTCGTGTGCCCCGATGAGGACACTTACTTTGCTCAACTGGAGTATGAGTGCATGTGGCGTGACAAAGCAGCCCCGTGCTCGGAAGCTGCCGAGCATTACGACGACAACACCAGGTGGAATCTTTAGTCTCTTCGCCGCCGATTTTCTTTCTTATCCATAGATTGTGCTCTTAATTCATAAATAAATAACACGTGTAGTGTCCTCACAACCAGTTGATACTGAAAACGGAATCGTGGACATTATTTTGTCATATAATACTACTGCACTTAAAGGGCAACTCCTTGGTTCTCCCTTTACGCAGGCTCACTGGCCCCAGTGGGACCCAAGTATATTCGCACGAAAAGCCACTGACGGAGAACCTTCTTCGTCGCATAATTTCAAAGATAAAAGCGGACGTTTTCTTTCAGCCTCTCCACAAGACTTGATGGCGGAGTTGTGGAGATCGCATTGTTGGCGTTGTCAACAAGGTGAACCGAGGCCATGAAAAAACGAAAAAAAGAAAGAAAGGGGTAATATGTTTTTCTTAAAATAAAGAAAAAGGTGAAGATAATTACATTCGTTGCTACTTGAGTAGCTGGTGTATTCCCATGTAGGTGATTGTCAAAATTCTTTGGCAGCTGAATGAAAACCCAGATTAGACTTTTTGTTTGTACATAATAATCTTTAATAATGGAGTTATTTTTTCTTTAAATTAAGTTGCAACTGGCGAAAATATGGACCGAGAGTGGGCTTTCCAGAATTTTTCGTGTCTATCCGAAGACTTCGCAACCCCGATGAAACACTTTTATTTAAAAGGGGAAAGGGGGGAGGGGGGGGGGGGCTTTAAGGGAAAGATGGGAGCGAGGAGAGCTATAGTCCACTGAATGCTTCGCGCTGCTGAGAGAAGATGGCGCCACCTTCTTTGGATAACATTGACCAGGGGTTTCAAACACGCGGCCCGCAGGCAACCGGCTACGATTCCAGGTTCCCGTGTCTCAAGGTCTAGAAATGGTATGCACCATAGTGGTCTAACCCAATAGACTCATTTCTCCGCTTTATTTTCGCTCGAAAAGTAGCTCTGCTCTCTTAACGTATTCACATAGTTCGTAATTATCTGTGATCATTTGCCCCTTGTTTCGGTTTATTTTTTTTTCAGCTTTTTGTAATTTACAACAATTTGGCAACTAGGCTGTAAGCGCGAGTTCTTCGTTGAAGGATGCATCTCGGGTGCGCGAACTCTCGATCAGCAGGAGCAACTGCCAAAAATAAAACTACACACTCGGGACTCGCGCCTTAAAAAAAAAAATTCGCCAATAAAAGACAAGTATTTGTTTAGTTTAGAGTGTTCTAATAAGAATCACCAGGAAAGCAAAAACTGTCAAATTAACTGATTGTTTTTCAGAGACATGTTCAGCTTGGTTAATTCATGAGTAAATTAAGCAGCGGGAACGACCGCGTACCTGATCTTTTGTTCCATTAAAAATGCCAGTGCGGGGGCAGTGTCATTTTAATTAGTGTTATGACATCATATCAGGGCCCAAAGTACTGATATAAAAAAGTCAGATCGAAAGATGTCACTGGCAAAACTGCGACTTTACAAAAAATATAGAGCACTAGTTCTCTTTTGAATATTTGAACACCCCAACCCGGTCGTACGTTGGTCCTCGACTTTTCGGGTGTGGGCTGTATGGCCCCAACACTCAATGAGTTTGAGAGCACTGACATAGATAAACGGACAGGACGGCGCGAAACGCAAAATATCGCTTTTGAAGCCGTTGCCAAGAGAAAGAACGCGTGCCTTTCTTTCTGGGTTGTAAAATGAGCCAGACAGTAGACTGTATTCTTGTTTACGGGGAACCGTGCCACTCAGAAACCTCCTCGCATGTGTAGGCGCCATTCATAACAAGAAACCGCGACAATACGGTGCAATAACGTTTATTGCGTTTTTTTGCAGTTTAGTGCTTAATTATCACCCCGATAATGACGGCTCCTATAGCTGTCACTAACAGCTCATACAAGATAATAGTTATATTAAGGGTCCGGATGGGAGATATGTCGCTGTCTCGAGGACCAGGAAATAAATAGGAAAACTTAAATGATGAAAAGCTAAATAAGTAACCCTATAGATAAGCGTGTAAATAAAAATTTTAAAGTTAAACTAAACATTAAGAAAAAAAAAAATAGATGGGGTAATATATCTACTTTATAAGTGAAATATAAACCCAATTATGACATCGCACAATAATTGGCACTCAAAAGAACTCACCAGGCATAAACCAAATTGCATAGAAACTTTGGCATGTTTCGACGGGGCAGAATTCTAATGAGAATGATTTAACTGGGGGGCCGGGGGGGGGGGGGGGGGGGGGGATGCTGACAGACGATAGAAGACGGTTTACGATAGGCAGTTTTTTCTCGTTTTCCCTGGTATCTCCGTTTACGCGGTTGGCGTGTGTTGCGGCGCCGTTTCTTTAAGGGCGCTTAGTTTTGTGCAGGGCGGACCTGGTGGAAGCGGGCCACGAGCCGAGCTTCATTGGAAGAGCCGCGGGCCAGGGTTTGGAGACCCCTGCTTTAGAGGATTGCACGGCGGCTTAGACAGGCTTACCATGCCATGGACCGTATTCGTGTTATGGGTGCCATATTTAAACATGACGTAGTTAGACTAGGAGACAAAGAATTCATGAAATAGTATAAGCATGTCTTCAATAAAAAATTATTTAAGACAATTGGCGATTTTCATTGCGTGTTTTTCAACCTACTTTCATGGCTTCGTCTAACCGTCAAACTCTGGGGATATGCGATTCGCTCGAAAAAGCTGACGAGCGAACCTGCCGGTACTATTTTCCAGTTTAGAGGTACTGTCGACGTCACAGATGTCGCCAATACTCTCGGACAACTTTCTGTGCTTATGCAGCCAGAGGTACGGGGGCGCGTGCATGAAGGCCGATTAAAGCTGTGCGCGTGCACCCCTCCTTTCGGCGGAAACGCCACGATAAGTTGTTCAATTTAAGCGCGAAACACATGTACGACGAAACCGTCCGATCCGACGTGCGGACTGCCGGAATGACCTTGAGGGGAGAGGGTTTTCGTAGCATCGGAGAGCGTTGAAAACCCTCGCCTCCGACCGTCGTATTGCGCGGTCGGACGTCGGATCGGACGGTTTCGTCGTACATATGTTTCGCGCTTAAAGCGCGAGACACATGCGCGAAAAATCCATCCGATCCGACGTCCGATCCGGCAGTACGACTGCCTGATCCGAAAAATTTGGTCGCTTCAGACGTCGGATCGGCGATCCGACGTGCGTCCAACGCGCCAGATAGTTTCGCACGGCGGACGGATTGTCGGATGCGTCCAGCCAATGACAGCACAGCTAGCGCGAACGTCATGATGACGTACTGGGTCTGGCGGGACGAATAAGAAAACGGGACGGGCGACGGGAAGCCGGACGCGTGGAGATCCCACTGACCCATTCGAAATAGATGGCCCGGCAGAGAATGCACGCGCCAGCGAGAACGAGCTCCTAACTTCGCTCGTGCAATCAAGAGGTCTATGAACGCGAACCTCCGCTGGAGTGCTTGAATCTCCTGGGCGGAGCCGAACGGATTGTCGTGTCGCATGCAAGGTCGGAACCGTGTGTCTCAAACTGTTGCGTGCGGCGATTCGGAGCGGCGTTCAGACTGTCGGATCGGACGTCGGATCGGACGAATCTGCCGTCCATGTGTCTCGAATGTCGCAGTTAAAATTATGTTCATCGTTATCTTTTGGCGTGACTAACGTGCACGTATAAGAAAACAAAACAAAGGCCTAATCCATGGTATGTGTTTATTCAACCACTCCCACAGTTTGCATAAAATAAAAACTAAAATATGATACTATTTACAAGGATGAGGGATGCCTATTTACAGGTCGTCGTCTTTTCTCATTTTTTCGTACAGGGATTTCAGCTCGTCCAAATCCATGTAGCAGCCTTTGAGATGCCTGTAAAGAAATTGTAAGGATATGTTATTATACTGAAGTATTTCATGGCGCAAGAGCAGGATAAAGGACATGATACGCGATAGAGAAACTATTCCAAATTAGTTATGGCACAAAATATTGGACACAATTAGACCACGAAAGCTACAGCTTATATATAATAAAAAACGCATTTCTTAAAAAAAAAATGGCTTAAACATTGAGAGGGGTATTTGCAAGCAGAATGAAACAAAATATGATATTCAAAGAGAGCTGGAGAACATGTTTGCCATTTGCAGAATAAATTTGTGAGAGCAGAACATAACTTGGTGTTTTCTTGTAAGCACCATGATTTTCTAGGTTGCTTCAGAATTATGCAGCAAATCGTTTGAAGACTGTGTCGCTGTTGTCTACAAAGGTGACAGTTGCAAGTTGTCTTGCCAAGAAAACAGGGGCTGCTTCTGCAGATAACCTGGAAGCCTTCTTTGATTTGACGTACTTAAGTAATCTCGGTAATCGTATTTACGAGCCGAAGCTAACGAGCGGAAGAAGCACATTACAAAACGGAACTGGATGAAGGGCAGTTAAAAAGTGACACCTTGGGATTCCTAACCGGCAGCCTCACGCACGACCGTTACGCCATTACGGTGGTCGGTAGATGTAATATTTCGCGTGATTAATGCAACAGTTGTGACATTTTTACGCAGTATTATGTGTACTATTTCTTACCACGCGGATTGTGGGGAATTAAAAAGTTCAAACACCTTGACGGTGTGTGCTACGGGGCACTATATGGCGACGCGCGCCCAAACGCGCTTCTGTGGTCGACCTTCCACGATTGGACAAGCCCTCAATATGACATGTTGAGTATGATGAGGTCTAATTAAGTAATGAAGATAAGAAGAATGTCAGGACGTCAAGTTCGACGGCGTGATTTCAAGACGCGATGACTACGAGCTTCCGCCGTACATTTTACACATTCTATCAAAATTGTCGCTGGCAATCAATAATTCCGGTTTTGACGTCACAGGTGGAAACCATGAGAGGGAGCTATCGAAGCATCTCGTCTAAAGTCTCTAGATAATTTTAATAGTAACGACAACCAATATAAATTACAAAGCACATTCCGCTAGAACAAAATGGCGGCCTTCAGTTCAAACCTCTGCTGTGCGCCGCCATTCGCTTCCTAGAACCTGCACCTTCACGCAGTCGGCGTTTCAAAGGCTGTCGACGCTTGTAGGAAGCTTTTATCTAGGGACTTTAATCTCGTCGTCAATACCCTTCGCACCTGCAGCTATATTTGCAGTCCATAGTATGGTGAGTAGCCAATCACCACCCTTCTTATCATAAAAAAATATGTATGACTCAGGCTCCTGTTCTCTTTTCGAGGGAGGGGGGGCGATACAGCCCCACTGTCTGTTGAAACTGGCTACGCAACACCTTCTGCATGCGCCGACAGATGGCGGCGGGGTGCATATATTTCGAGAGGCTAGGCGATAGGACGCATAGCAACGGAAGCTGCACTGGATTAGCTGGTTATAGGGAGCGACGCCGTGACGTAACACCTAGCAACCCATCCTCCTTATTAGCGACGTGCGCGATCAAAAGCGTCGCTGTTGTCGCCATTCGAGACTGGCCAAACGCTCACTGTGACGCCTTTATCTGGATTAATGTTTCTTTTATCGACGGAAATCAGCATGTCAGAGTGTCAGCTGTGACGATGTTTGTTTAAGAATGCAATGACTACAAGCTTCCATTGTTACTTTTACACATACCATGGAACTTGTGGTTTGCAGTTAATGATAAGTAGTCAAAGATTACTACTCGTGACGTCACGGTGAGAAAATTTCTGGTCGTGACGTCACGAACGGAAACCATAGGAGAGTGCCACAGAAACATCTCAGTGCTAATAGCCAGCATCTCTGCATCATCCTAACCACATGCTTTCGGTCAGATAGGTGGTATTACCAGGGAGGCGTAATTGAGCGTGGTGTTTACGCAACATGCTTGAACCAGGCCAGTCCTGAGAATAACACTACGATTTTGATGGTGTAAAGTGCAAGTTACGGAAGCGTCATGGAATCTCGTCGTAAGCTTGAGTCCCTTGCTCAGCAGCAGCGGACCTAAGCATGGCGGCAGTAAATACTACTTACATAAGAATAATAAATTTGGAGCTTCCAGAACGTTCCATTCAATCGTGTGCGTGCTTTACCTTGGTGGCGCATAACATATATCACCAGCACACTCACCTCTCCACTTTGGAAGGTTCGAACCCGGTCCTGCCGTGAAGGATCCTCCTGTTGTTGATGACCACAAGATCGCCGGGAGTGAGGTAGAAGGAGTACTGCAGCGTGCTCTGCTCGATCCTCTGGGAAAACAGCCGCAGTGCCTGGTAGTAGTTTGCAACTTTGTCCTGGGGCAGAAGGGGCGGCCGCATGGAGAACAGACTGTAGTGGATGTCCTTCAGCTTTCCCATGTGGTCGACGCTGATCACAGGCCAGGATTCTCGGAACCACCTCTGTCATTAGAAGACAGTGGAACCACTTAATCGATATGCTGAACAATCATTGAGAGAAGCGTGCGAGCGTCGATCGGTACACCATGGACACTCGGGCTTCTGTGACGTCATTTGTTGCCACTTCGGGATCAGTTTTGATGTATGAGCGGGATAGGACTCTAAACACACGAGTCGGATACGTTGGGGCCGGTGGACACGTGATTGTAATCAATGTGAAAAGGTGTAGATAATGGGAACTCGTGCTTGCAACCCTATTATAACCATTGCAGGAAAGTTTATTTCGCGGGGATATTGAAACAAGGAGTTTCCTTCGTTTGTTGTGCGACTGGGATAACCAGCGGGAGTGCCAGACGTACGATACAAGCTATGACCTCATTTGATCAGCCCTCAGGTTACTTGACGTGAGTGGTCGTGGCTGCGGCCAAAACCTGACAAACAAATATATATATATATATAAAAAAACGCACAAGCGGCTTAGAAATTTGAGGATTACTTACGTCCCGATCAGAGTCCAGGAAAGAGAATATCACGGGAGTCTTCGACAGCGTCTCGAAGTGTTGCGGGTAGTTGTAACGGAGCCACTGGGCTGCGTAGAATCCGTCCACGAAAAACGACTTGCCGCCGGCATGCTCCTGGGCGCTGGCCGGGTCAGCGGCCTTGAGGCAGTGCAGGAGCTGAACCCCAGGTGCCCGCTCCCGGTAGGCCAGGTCCGTGTGGTGGCCGAACTGCAGACCCGTGTATGCCAGGTGCGTCTTGGGGTCTGCGTTGTACTTCACGTCGAACGTGACGCCGTAACCGGTCTCTCGGATGTAGCCCATCCGCCGTGCCACGTTCACGATCTGGTGCTCGTTTAATGGAACGCCTGCAAGACAAGACGGTGGGAGCGTTAATTGAGAAGAAAAAAAAACAATAAGGAGGGAAATGGGGAAAACCCTATATGAGAGGCGGGATACGGCCCATTCGTCACATGTCGATTCGTCATAGGGCAACTGGTAACAGGCCCGTTTGTCACAGCGGAACATTGGTCATAGGGTGATTCGTCACGCTGGCAGTTCGTCACACAATGACTTCTAGATTGCTAAACGTTGTTTTCTTCTTTCTTGTTTTCTTAGGAAAGTCACGAAAGGGGGCCACTTAATTAAATCCGTACAAGGCCAGTGAGGTTGACTACGGGAAACAAAAGCATGTCCCAATGACCCCAAGTTAAGGCAGCATGCAGCCTTTAGCCTGCATGTCGTCTTATCGGGGTCACCTTTATTACAAAAGAACTTTGAGAACATAAAGTTCACAATAGAAAAAAGCCCACCAAGCGCGATTCTTTTTTTTTTTTTTTTTTGTGCCCCGTTTCAGGGCAAATTATGCCGGTTGCCCTCCGATTATAAAAATATCACTTTCGATTTCTAAATGGAGGTAGTTACTACTAAGAGGTGCGGCGGAGAAAAGCTCACCGGAGAAAAGCTCACCGGAGAAAAGCTCACCGGAGATAAGCTCACCGGAGAAAAGCTCACCGCAAAACCGGCAGATGCGGAGAAAAGCTCACCGGCCTTTGAGCGAATGTACAGAAAAGCTCATCGATATTTTTTTGGCTTAGCTTGATTCTGCGTCAAACGTGCCAATTTAACACAATTCGCATTCGTCACTTCAATAAAAATATGTCCTCTTTTTTTAAATATTCTTGAAGTTCATTGGGCATACTTACCAATTCCTCAGAAATTAGTAATCACTCATTCTATGAATTATTGAAGCCGCAAACATAAAATCAAAACATCGTACACCGATAAAAAAGGCAACAATTTATTGACAGCTGACAGCGCGCCGTCACTAGCTCTTTCAGATAAAGGGTTTGTTCTTTGCGAGCTATAATGAATAGCGGTGTGTGAACCGGTTCAGCTCCAAATATTGTGTAGTGCCTAATAGATAAGAAGGTGTTTGCTGATGTAATCAGTGTCGGCTACGCTGTTTTCTTTCTGTTAATTTCACTAAAAAAACTTTAGTTGCGAGAACAGCTTCGCTTGTCGTGTTTGTTTTCTTCACACCGTCGTCATCGTTTGAGCGGTTTTCATCATGTATAACGTTTACAAATTCGCCCTGTTTGCTGTATAACAGAAGACTACTTCTATAGGTTACGATCAACAACGCTGCCATTGCGCAGCTCCGAAGGTCATGGGTGGCTCACCGTAGAAGGGCACTCAGTATCACACAAAGGGAACGTGTGAAAACACCAGCACGAACGGCTAGAAGGCGTGCATGTCCGTGGAAGAAGCCTCGATATCCTACTGACTGTTTTATTCTGTTTTCGAAGGTTAACAAAAGCTTCAAGGAGAATTTCAGGCACCTCGTTGTTGCGCATGCACTTTTGAATTTTCGGCAGCTGCAGCTTTGATGTTTTTAGGTTTTAGGCAGTCATCATTAAATTTTTTAGCTTTTTCCTGTTCTTCAAGTTCATAAAGTTTTTAGTTAGGTTTTCGTTGCCTCGAGAGTAAGCCACAGAAAACACTCGCCCGCAATTATTAATTTGGGAGCAATATACCCAATAACCTTAACAAATATTACAAAAAGGAAATTTTTTTACAAAGCTGACGAATTTTAATGATTATAAATTGATATATGTTACGCATTATCCAACAGCCTTCATATAAAAAGAAGAGAAAATATCGGTAAGCTTTTCTCCGCATACGCTCAATGGCCGGTGAGCTTTTCTCCGCATCCGCCGGTTTCGCGGTGAGCTTTTCTCCGGTGAGCTTATCTCCGGTGTGCTTTTCTCCGGTGAGCTTTTCTCCGGTGAGCTTTTCTCCGGGATTCACTAAGAGAGGTGGCGATATGCTTCTTCACGAAGGACATTCCTACACTTGCATTAAGGTTTACGAAACTACGTTGTATTGGGCCTGCTGGCGGAGAGGAGTTTGTAAAACTAAAATAGTCACCGATCACGCCAAGACTCCTGTAATCTCTTATTCAGGAGACCATATACATGTATTTGACAACACCAAGATGAACGTGCTTGGGTTCGTCATCAGATGAAGGAAAAAGCTGGTATGTACCAAAATCTGTTCCTGCTCTTATATTGCCAAAACAAGGTCACTGATGTCCTTTATTCCAGTGGAAGGCCGTCTATCACCACACCAAATACTTCTGGCTGCGGTTGCCTGTGTCAGTGACGACATTGCTTTGTAGATTCCCGCACCGCCAACACTCCGGGGCACCATCCGCTAGCAAAGGCAGCGGCCGAATTTCGAGTACAGCGTATCATCTTGCAAAGGTGACATATGATCGAATGCCCACAGAGTTCAAAGTAAAGTGTATTGCAGCGCAAAATTACACTGCGCGACATATTATGATAATAATGACTGTTTTACCTGCATGCGGACCACAGCCCAAAAAAGACTCCTTTCTCCTTTACGATAGCGGAGAGGGCGACGGCGAAAGAATCTTGATCTTTGCTATCGAGCGCAACTTGAGCTGTCTGGCTCACGCGACTACGTGGGGATCCGGCCAACTCGTCGAAAGCCAACTCGTCGACGGCCTACTCGCCGACGGCCAACTCGTCGACGGCCAATTCGTCGAATAGGGCAAGTCGTATTAGGACAACTTGTCGAAAGGGGTAATTGGTCGAAGGGCGATTCGTCAAATGGGTTGAATGACGGTTTGAGGTAAAAGTCTGTGGTTCCTTTTTATATTTTACTTTCTTTACAGGATTAAAAGAAACACTACAAGAGGGCAAAGATAGGAGAGAAACCTTAGAAAAGTTGAAAACTGTGTCATCATCCTGATTGACATGATCGTCCTTTTGTTACGTTTCTTTATTACTTATATTTAGGGTTCCGTGCTTTTGGAGTTTATTTTTCGTCAAATTCGGAGGGTGTTTTTCTGAGCTATTTTTTGCCGAAGATTCGGAGTTTATCGCAGTTTATATCTGTTTGAGGAGTTTATCGGAGTTTATCTCTGTTTGATTCCCAATTTTTCAAAATTCAGATTTTAATTTCGCTACGTTTCGTATTAAAATAGATAAATTAATAATAACCGGATGTAAACGTATGCCAGATAAAAATAAAACGCGCTTGTATCAATTAAAACTTCTTCGGCTGAATTTGGTGTTGGTGCCATTGCCATTGGCAATACTAATTTGCCTCACGACAAAAGTCGCATACGAGTGTTGCTTCGATAAATGGCGATACCTTAAAATCAATAAACTCCCGGAGGTAGTCACTAGGAAGCTCCTAGTCATCCCATCCTATTCCATCAATCTAGCCCGCGGTCGCGAGAGGTGGAGGGGTTAAGGATGTAATAGTTTTCAACTGCCCCTCTTCCCTTTTTTATACAATCTCTATGGTCCATAGCTTTCACTGTTACAAAAAACATAACCTCTCCTTTCTCTAAATCGCAAATCTCATGACCCTAAGAGGAAACCGAAAGAGTGGCTTTTGTCGTGACCTGAGTGTACAATGCCATGTTGCCCTGAATCAACCTTGACGAGACAAGTGGTGAGACCCCTTTTGACAACGGTCCGAGATTTGAAAGATAGTTATAGTGGCATTTAACTAGGACCATTTCCCCGCGCTGCCCAAATATTAAAAAAAAAGAAGAAAAAAGGTTTTTGACTTTTTAATTTATAAATTCGGAGTTTATCGGATAAATCCGAATTGACCGAATTTCACCGGCGGGTGTTTTTCGGATTTATCCGAAAACACGGAGCCCTACTTATATTGTGATGAGCCGCCGTAGACTGTCGCTGCGAAGCGGCGTCAACTAAGGCCTTAGTTGACGCTGATCGGCCGGGTAGGTTAACACGCGCCCCATTGATACAAGAGCGACATAGTGACCATGCCCCACTGCACCGCGAAAGTGGCGAAAACGGCAAGTGTTAACCTTCAAAAAGAGAGAGCAGACCTGTTAATACTGCAGATTGGGCGAGTTGGTAAGGCATCATTACGAACCAGCGCACAGGTAGACAGTTACTCAAAATCCAAACACACAGAAAAATACACTCATACAGCGCTCAGCGCTGTATGAGTGTATTCTGTGTGCACTGGTTCGTAATGATCCTCTTAAGAAGCGCCTGCTGATACATTTTTTTACGAAAGACAGAACACGCACTATTAAGGACAGTATTTGCTTTGAAATTTAAGGACACAAATTATATATTTGGCATTAAAAAAGCAGCGACCAGTTGGCTTCTTCGACGAGTTGCCCTATGACGAATGGGCCTATTCGACGAACGGACCGCGGACGAGTTGGCCTAGACCCGACTACGTGGTTCGCGGACGGGACCTTCAAAGTGACCCCGGCACACTTCTACTAACTGTACACGGAGCATGCCACAGTCAACGGCGTGGTAAATAAAGCCAATGGTTTACGGCTTGTTGCCCAACAAATCTGAAGCTACCTACAAAAGGTGAGCATTCAAGAGCTCCGATAAACGTATGAAACGAAACGCTCAGTGGACCTATTATTGGATATGTGTTTAAAGACTTCAAAATATGTTCGCCCGTTTTAAGGTTTTTCGACGTCGTTCTGAGTCACATGGGGGGCCAACTGCCTTGAGGTGGCTTACACGGACTTCAAGATAGCGGCCATCAACGATAGAGGGATGCTTTTTTCACTTATCCCAGTCGGTGTATAGGAAGGTGTGCTCCAGCGGTCACCAGAGTCGCTACAATTCAGATGACGAGTTTGCAGTTCTGGTATGCGGATTCTATTTATATGTCTTATTGTTGTCTTCAGGTAAGCCAATTGGTTACTTTATTTCTTTTTGATTTTCAAATGGGAATGCATCCAGCATTGGCCTTCTTGCCAATCGCCGACATTCCCAAGGCCTTCAAGGGACTTCTCGAGGTTTTCCCCACCGATGCCTCACTCGTGGCGGACTACTTTGAAAACGTGTATATAGGAAGACCTCGTCGAAACGGCTTGTCGTCGGCCACCTCCCCTCCTCTGGTTTGGTCAGTCAAAGAATCAATACTAGCAGAAAGGCCAACAAGGACGAACAACAGCATCGAAGCGTGGCTCCGGGGACTGCACGTAAGAACTGACCTAATCCTCTGAGAACTTGGACGTTTTCTGTAGTACATTTTTGCATTTGTGGCTCAAAACTTAAGTACAGTGCCCACTCAAAAAGCTTTCTCCACGAGTGTGTGTGTTCTTTTTTCTTTCTATCTTTAACAGAGATGAAGCTGGCTCAAGCAGAGGGCGGCACGACATCTTCGAGGGTATCCAAGAAGCACGACGACAACAACCGGCGGCTTCGAATTATTGTGAGCCGCTACAATGGTCGCAATCGTCTAGAAATCATGAAGGTGGCAGCTCGGAATATCGCTTTTTATTTTTTTTTTTTATTTCGCTCAATATATCTGTTGTTTTCTAAGTACAACGATGACTTGTTTGGATGTTCCCTCTCTTTAGTAAAATTAAATATACCGTACTAATCTTTATTGCATGCACAGCCAGGTGAATATATGTTGAGCAAATTCAAATATCCGGTTCGCACAGTGACAAACGTTCCTAGGGACAAATTCCCCTGCGACGAATGTTCCGCTGTGACGAACGGGCCTATTACCAGTTGGCCTATGACGAATGCGCATATGACAAACGGGCCTACACCCATGAGAGGCTAGTCTTCCTATGGAGGGGCCATCTTTCTCGTTCAACTTGGGAAGAGGAAACAAGAATTAATTGAGAGGAGGCAGATGAGGTGGAGGGCTGACACCTGCCGGTTGGGAGTATACTCCAGTCTTACACAGCGTTTTAGCACCATAAGTAAATTAGATTGGCCAATAAATTAAGTTTTTTTTTCAGTGCATCTGCACATGTAGATTCTCGGGGAATAAAACGCAGTTTTTGAAACGATGCAAGTTAACAAAGACAGCCCATGCTCTGTTTGTGTCAATCTTTGAAAACACAAACTTAACATCCACTGGCTCTGCTAATCTACACCATGTCAAAATCTGCACTTTTCTTGAGAAGCATTATCGGTTTCGTGCATGATAGCCACATTAAAACGGCAAGATTGCCATGTTTGTTTTAGGTGAGAAGATGTAAAAGCCGACATCAATACTATGGGCAGGATAGTCGTCAAGATACAGCAGAGGCAGGTCGATATTGTGAACGTGCTTGCTGAAAATATAAAAATTCAGTGCGCTTACAAATCAAACAGGCTACTAAGACGTTCCAGCGAACGTCGAAGGGTTCATTTCAATCACGGGGAATTTTTAAAGTGGAACCTAAATTATATAAAACCTACACTGGAAAAGGTTTTCGGGAGATTGCAGGTTTCTCGGCCGCGATAGAAATCTGTCAAATCCAGATTCCATTGAATATTGTAGTTTTAAATTCAAAACACCTTATTCAGATTACTTAGTCGTTCCCATAGCCATACCTCTGCTACAATCTAATAAGTGCCAACTACGTCATAGGTTTAATATAATATTTCAGAAGGAAAGGTCCCAAGCATTGCGGCCGCTTCTGAACGGTGGTGTATAAACGCGGGCATCCGTGGTCCTATCGGTGGTCCCGATGGGCAGATCACGAGGCACTTCAATATACACAAAGAAGCGGGAAAACGTTACTTGCAAGGTCCCTACTTATTGTTTTTCTAGCCTTATTTTGTGCTTACTTCGTGGAAAACACTGACGTCTCGCATTGCATAAAAATGAATAAAGTCGACAACAGCTCAAAAAACTTAATTTCATCGCGGCAAGACGAACACACCCCTACCTATCGTCTACTATTTCTTTTTTTAGCTTTTCTGTCTTTTTTTTTTTGGGGGGGGGGGGGAGAGAACTGATGTCAGCGCTCAGAATTTGCCGCGATCTGCTTCCACCCTTTACCCCTCTGAACTACGTACCTCTGAGGATGGAGATCCCGTACTTGCAGACGTTCTTGAGCATTTTCTTGAGACCAGCTCGCGTGCCCATGAAGTCATCGAACTCTAGTTCCGGAGGGTTCTCCTCGATCTCGTCGCGGTTCCAGAGGATGACGCTCGACTTCTTGTTGATGTAAACCTCGTCTGTGATCTCGTCTTGCGGCGGCTGCTGGTCCTGGGCCGGAGCAGCGGACACGGCGGTCTCGGCCGGGGCCTCTTTGGGCTGGAACACGGTGGTGAACTGGTGTAGCCACTCGGCCGTGTACGTGCTTGCGTGCGGCGGCCGCCGGGCCGACTGCGGCCAAAAGACCTCGAGACGATGGAAGTTGTTCTCCACGTCCCACGACAGGGGCTGGATCTTCGGGTCGATTTTAGCGCTGTCCAGTTGTTTCTCTTGAGTCGGGGGATGAACGCAGGCCTGGCATTTGCAGCTGTCCCGAAGCTGCGAAGAGGAAGTCGCAGCATGTGTGAGACACCTGTCTTTATCTTCCAACTCGCCTCTTTTTGTTTTAACCTGAAATGTCCATCTCCTATTTATAAGAAGGAATAAGATTGCCTATATTATGCATAATTTACCTCCATAGCTGAATTGACGTTTGTTAAGTTTAATATTCCGTTAGATACTCCTGAGCCGGCCTGCATCTAAAGGTTAATTCTGAAGGGGAGGGAGTTCGAGAGGCTGCAGCACAGAAGCAATGGTAGTTTGTTTGATTGGTCACATTCGAAGGAAAATGATACGTACCCAGGTACTGCTGAAGAGGCATTTGCTGTTGTCGGAGAACGTAACACAGAGCGTGTTCTCACTGGCCTTGTACACGTCCTTGATCTTGGGAGGGGGCAGGGTAATCTCTTCGGGTTCCTCGGCAAGGGCCGTGCTCATGCAGCGGACTGACCGAGCAGCTGGAAGGAAAGCGATTGGCGACACGGTGAGGACTTGCAAAAATATCCCGAGGTTACATTCGAACAAACAAATAGGACCTGCTTTATCTGCAAAGACACTCTTAAATTTACGATGGCCAGTGGTACTGCGAATGCTTCCTGCTTGAATATTACGTAAAAACGAAACTTGTGCATACAAATAAAAATAAACAGTAATTCGAATGCCTTCATAGAAGCGAACATCTCAAGCCGAAGTCACGCTTTTAATATATCATGCAGAAACCGCCTGCAGATATCTTCGAAGTACACAAATGTAAGAAGCAAACGTGCTACGAACGTACTTGAGCTGTGTAAGCAGATAACTGTGTCATCATGTCTCCAGTGAACCTCGTGCCCTTTGCAGAACGTGTGAGGAGTGTGACTGGATATTCTCGAAAACAAAATGTTTACCCGATAAAATTCATGTTGGTTAGCATAACGAGTTTTGACGATCATAATATACTCGTTATTGTTGGTATTACTGTTAAACTGAGAAGACAACCGGAACGTATTCCAGGTATACGGACACGTTATATTTATTATTACCCATGCTACTGATGATATATATATTTTTCTTACCGGAACCTTTGATGGAGGAATCGCTTCCTAGGGCACGGCATGAGAGAAGGCGCCTCCCGGTTCCCGAAAGGAGAAATTTTTTGCAAACTGCAAGGAAAACAACAAAAACATAACACGCATCACAAAGGAGGGAAAAGCAACGCGATTCAGCATGACATGTATACCTTGGGACTACAGTGCCCCGGTATATGTATAATGCGTTCATATACAGTACCACGTTCTGATTGCATATCTCTTCAGCGGTAATTTCGTACAAAAAAAACAAAACAAAAAAACACCCGCGTTTTTACGCTAATCGTCGTGATATTGTTATTTGTTACTAGAAAACTTTGTTGACATGGTGAAAATTGAAATTGTTAACGACTGGGAGTAGAGGAGGAGCAGGTATAAAAAAATTCGGCAACCGTAACGACTTCTTCCCATTTAATTATTAGAAAAAGAACGCCCCCCCCCCCCCCCTTTTTTTTTTCTTCTGAATAATCGGCGGACAGGCCTCATGTACGTTCGAAGTATGTATTCTTCATACATATATACGCTTGGAACAATGCCTGCCGACCGTTTTTGTAGGACCATTGTACTGCCCGAGTTCCACTAGAGCGACAAGCAGAAACGAACTAGAGCGACAAGCCTCCAACACATGCAGCACGCTCGCAATGATACCTTTGGCAGGAGTTTAGTTGTTCGGTGCTCGTAAGGTAACGCTTATGGCCTGAATGTCCAACGAGACTGAATGTCCAACAAGCCTGAATATCCAATCGGTCACGTGACAGGCGAGACGGAATGTACAACGAGACGAAAGATCCAATCGAGACGGAATGTCCATCGAGTCTGAATGTCCAACGAGACGAAAGGTCCAATCGAGACGGAATGTCCAACGTGCCTGAATATCCAACGAGACGAAAGATCCAACCGAGACGGAATGTCCAACGAGCCTGAATGTCCAACGAGTCTGAATATCCAACGGATATAGAATGAACCTTGCAAATTATTTAGAAGACATTTCTTTGTTGAGTTGTAGGACTACTGATAGTTACGGCGGTGAAAAATGCGTTCGATAAAATGGGGAACCGGACATTTCGGTGCGGAGATATCGGTACGCGATCATTTCGGTATGTGGTCGCTTCGGCACCGGGCTTTTCAGTACCGGGATTTTTGATGCACGGCTATTTTGGTATGCCGCTGAGCTTGTCCCACTGACGTTGCCTCTGTAAAGTCCCCAAAATGAAATTAAAATTATGCTCGTACGTATATTTTGTAGACTTCATAAAATCCCCAAAACAATTCATTTATTGTTCCTTTTATATATCTAAATATAAAGATGATATCTATAATTTAAAAAAAAAATATGTTTAAAAGGTCACTTATGCTACAAGATCAAAGACCGAACTCGTTGACCATTGACAATCTGTCACACGTTTGATTTTAGAAGGTCGCACCTCCGGAGCGGGAACAAATGTGGGACCCACGAGCGTCCTCAGCCACCGTTTTTCCTTATTGTACGAGTTGCTGTATTTTTCTTATTCGTGTCCCTAGTCCCGCAAAGATGATGTCCCTCGCATGGGAGAAAAGCGCCTGATTGAATTTTTAGTATTATATTTATTATTAGGTGAAGTTCGTGTAGTATGTGTAATTACTCTAAATTGCAGTTTTTTTTTCTTCTTTTTTTAGAGAACGAACGTGAAAGTTTTAGACATTTCTGATTGGACTTCTCGGTCCCCAGAAACAAAGATTCGATCCTCATATCAAAATCAGTGATAGGATACAACGTTCCTTCCATTAAGCCTTTGTGCAGCTAATCTTCTCAATTGGTGAGCTTTTGTCCGGTGATTGTGCGTTGACGCTTATCGCGACGATTAGTTTCGCATGATTCGGCCACCAAAGCGATTGCTGTCGCAGTGAATCATGTATTAAGCAACAAGTAGGTAATATTAGTAATTATTACAATACTTTTTTAGCGTTGGCTTCCGTCGTTTCTGCCTTGCCTGGTCACGTGGCATGCAGCAATCGCACCGATACGCGCCCAGGTAGCATACCAAGGCTGCGATCGGATTTCAACTGGTTCTAACTCTGTCACAGAGCCGCTGCAACGGTGCGACCGTTATTTATTGATATGCGTACATTACAAGTGCACATATGACCACGGCATCAGGGCCCGTTTTCTCGAACGCGAACCGTGGTTTAAAGGGGAACTCCGGCGATATTTTGAGCAACCCCAACTAACCATATATTCGAAATCGCCGTCCGTTACTCTTTTCGTTATGCTATTTAGTATCGCGAAATTCAGAATAGTTTTTGTGAAATCGGCAAATGAAAACGACGCCAAAACGAAGATTCGAATATACCCGCGCTTTTCATTGCCCTGAACGTCACGGTTGGGCTGGATTGCGGTTCGAGCAGGCAGTCTAAATATGAACTATGCCGAGCATTTGTATCGTGCTGCTGCGCGGGGGCTGGAGTGACCTTCCAAAGCATTCATTTGACACCATGAAACTGTTTGTAATCAGATGTGAACAAAGTCTACAGCCCAAAAAGTGAACTCCTACCCAACCATGACGTCACTTTTTCAATGTTGCCCGTAGAGCTTTTCACTTTGAAAAACACGATGAGGTCCAAAATTGTAAATTCTGTAACTGCACGAAAAAACGTTATTTTGTCCAAATATTTGAGTTACTAGTTCAGCGATGTTTGTTGGTGTGTCTAGCAAGCTTTTAGGCAAATCGGGGACTATGAAGAAAACGGCGGAGTACCCCTTTAAGGTTAACTATTGTCCCTAGAAGGGGGAATTCTAGGTCACGTGCCTTGGAGAGCATGGGCGCCGAGGGAGGGGCAGTACCTAGAAGCAAAATGGCCGTGGCGTCGCTCAACGAGGGCTAATAATTCTGCTTGGTTCTGCTGAACATTCATTTCGATCCGGCTGTTATATTAATGACGCACCGTCAACCTATTAGCACGTCAAGCAAAGCGGTAGTTCAGAGGGACTACTAAACTAACCGACGGCAGCATTCCGCGAACGCATCACTCTTCAGCAGTCCGGGATCCAAAACATATGACGGTACATAAGCCTTGCAAGTGTTCTTATGGTGAGTAAAAATATGTTTTGCGAACGAGTGTTGGTATATATTTATTCTAACACGTTTAATTTGTTACACTATGCATGCCAACTCGTGAGCAGCGATTACTTTGCGGAGAAAGGGGGTTATCCACGATAAAGTCTTCGTTCCTGGTGAACAGCTGGGGCATTGTACTGTTTTTTTTTGTTCGCAGCGCGCCGACAGTATGCCGACAGTATCGAGGTTTCTACATATCCCCGGTGGCCAGTTAGCTTCTCGTCACCGGTGGATCGGTTGGGCAAATGGAAGAGAGGGCAAACAGTTGAGATCAGCAGGAATCGCAGAAACGTGCGTTGCGAGGAACAAAAACGAGACTATATACAGCACCGGCGTTGCCAGACTGGAAGGAACACGGGAAAGTTATACGTTGTTTATGGCGAAACATATTGAAGGAAATGTTTTTTAGATTTTCGAATATTCGTCGACAAACTATGGCATAGTAGCTAAAATTTCTTGGTACCATCGGAAGCAAATAAATTGGTGTTCAAGTACAACATTACTATATTTTGACTTAAAATACCATACTAGATCGATAACAACCAGCGGAAAAAAGGATAAACAAAATGACTGGCTTGTTTCACCGATAGATGACTCATCTTATTGCCCAATCAAAAATCATTATTGTTGTTCTATATCCAGCCGTTTATTACAGTACCTAGGTACTTTTTCCTTCCTAGGCACCGTGGTTTGCCAAAATGGGTTTACCATCGCTTCGAGAAAACCGGCCCAGGAGGTCAGCCCCTCGCTCGGTCTTCCCAAATTCCATACTGCTAGAGTTGCGAGTGAACATACGAACAACCCGACTTTTATCATTTTGAATAACCCGGGTACGATTCACTATCGGACCCTTGCCAATTCTGAGAGCTGCATTTGTCATCCTCTCTTTTTTGAAAAGAAGGTCTCACTGTTGACCCCCACTGTCACCGGCAATCTACACACCCAACCCTAATAAACTCGTTTCGACAGTTCGACGAACGGGGACTTTCGCCCCATTCTTCATTCTGCGAATCGGGGCAAATTGTCCTTCTTCCAGTTGTCCAGAGACCAATGGAAGTTCGACGAAGTGACCGGATTCGTGGTGTAATATGCTTACCCTACAAGAATAGAAAGCCACGCGGAACGATCTATTGTTATATTCACACATGATGCAGGCTATTAGTACATCCGGGTGTGAAACTTCTGCTGCACGCCGAGATGGATGCGTTTACTTCCTTTATCAGCAGTCAAGCTCCCACCTACCAAGACGTCATGAACTACCTCGACAGAATGGCGAGCTTTGGAGTGCTTCCAGAAGCCAGTTAAATTACATGGGCTTCTGAAAACCACTATGCATGTCACATGCAAAAAAAAGGAAAAAATATATGCGTACTGTGTGATATTAGTATTATCGCTCTACTCACTGACATACAAACCTATTGGTAGGGAATGGATGCGTATGTAAACTACTGACGACTGACGTGTATAGTGAGTAGTTGTCTCTTCCAAAGATAAACGAACAAAAATAAAAATTTGTCAAATTCACACAATTGTTCCGCATTTACTCAGTAATTGTCGGGTCACACCAGCCACCACCCCCATGCATTTACAGGCGCGTTAGATGTAGATTTTATTTAAAAAGAAAAGATATCTATATTTTTTTTATTAGTGGGAAATTACGCTTGTGGAAACTCTTGATGCCTCGCACCCACAGCTCCTTTTAAAAAATTAAATATTGACTTTGCGCATAGTCAGCGGCGCTGGCGGGCGGTCATGTATTTGGAATGCGGATCTCCGTATGTAGCTCATCTATAGATTGAAACAGGCAGGGATGAGGACTGAACTAAAAATTCCTGGGTTCTGAAGCGCGGCTTTTATGGACGTCCCTCAATTGCGATCCACATAGAACACCCGCACATTGCATCCCTATTATATATTTCAAATTGGCTGATCTATGTCATCGGAATATTCCAAACATTTGAACTGTTAATATCAAAGGAGCGTTTGGCGTCGTACAATCAACACCTTTAACCGATTGGTACATAGCTGCGCATCGGCACTCAGCTAACTAAACATCGAGCCTTCCTATAGATGAAATTATATTTGTGTCTGCTCTGTTTCTTTGTCGGTCCGTCGACGTCGGCTTTTGTGGCACGACATTTTAGTATGATGTAACTACGGCAATGTCTGCAGGAATGCGGACTAAATATACACCCAAGTCTGTACATCTAAGAGTGCAAATTATTCTAGCACGTGACAGGCGAGACGGAATGTCCAACGTGCCTGAATGTCCAACGAGACGAAAGATCCAACCGAGACGGAATGTCCAACGTGCCTGAATGTCCATCGAGACGAAAGATCCAACCGAGACGGAATGTCCAACGAGCCTGAATGTCCAACGAGACGGAAGATCCAACCGAGACGGAATGTCCAACGAGCCTGAATGTCCAACGTGCCTGAATATCCATAATTGGATCTTTCGTCTCGTTGGACATTCAGGCTCGTTGGACATTCCGTCTCGTAATCGTAAGGTAAGCACGAGTGATTGCAAGCCTGCCAAGTATACCCTCGCGTGCGTGATGCTTGTGTTTGAGCATAGCCCGCTTTATTCTACAAAGCATGTCAAGGCGCGAAAGACTCTGGTTTGAGGCTTGACGCTGTCGTTTGTTTCGGTTTGTCGGTCTAGTGGGACTCGGGCATGACAGGACGGTCATGCAAGAAAGAAACACGCCTCCAACAGTGTGCACAAGCTGCAGTGTGACCGGGGCTTAACGCGTCCTGGTGGACCAGACTTTGCACTAAGCACAACCGAAGAAAAGCCAAGTCCTTAATTTGAGAGTGCCACGCGATCTATTGTTGTACCGCAACAACAACGCCAGCCAATAATACGTGGCACGCCACTGCACTCCAATATCGATAAGACACCCGAACTCGCAAACTGGAACAGTAAACAAACTGAACTCGCTTGCACTTACGGCATCGACGGAGGACGCCTTTGACATTCTCCGCCATGCCGTGTTTCTAGGACGTGCTCGACGCATTCGAGAGAACGCTGGCGCCGCCGTGTCTATCGCCTCGGTCGCGCGCCGGAGAATCCCTCCACACGTTATCATCGAGCACGGAGGACGTGCAGCTCGCTTCCGATACGTGGCTATCGACACGTCGTAAAAGCAGCGCCGCGAGCACAGATAGGAGGGAGCGCGGGCTGCGCGAGAGATAAGAAACCCTGATCTCGTTGGCGCAAATTTGGGGCCCTGCCAGCCTGTTGCCAGCGGGCTCTCGAATTTTGTTTGCCTTCGTTGTCGCGTCAAATGAGTGGAGGAGCAAATGCGAGCTAAACCAAGTGGCCTTGCTGCCGTCGCCGCCGGCCCCTGACGAGTTGCGAAACTGCCGATTGTCTGCGCGGGGCCAAGTGGCTTCATTCCTCCGGTCAGGCTTCCGCGAGGGTATTTGTAATGCGTTCGAATTTTATTTATTTCTATTTTTGTAGTTAGACAAAATTAAATGATTTGGCTTTCCTGCTTGTCAAAATAATATGCCGACCCCCAAAAATGCGATGAAATATTTTAGTTCCTCTGAGAGATGCTGATCTCTGAAGAGAGATCAGCTTCTCTCATAGATTTTTAATCGTTGATTTGTTTGTTAGTAATATTTTTTTTGGTTCACCACTATATGAAATTTGAAGTAATAAAGCTTGGACTTGAGTTTGGGCTAGTTGGTTGTACATTGCTAAATGTGCTGCGCTGCGAGGTTCTACCAAATGTTATGTAGAACTTCTCAACACAGGGCATTTAGCTATATTACGGTCACATGATGAAATGCGACATCAAGAGAAAAAAAAAAAAAGAAAACATAAAGATGTTGGGTGGTAAATTGTGCTGTGACGTCTGAGAGATTGTGAAAACGATTTCTTGCAATATAGGCTCGTTTCGGCACAGAGCCAAGGAACTGACATTTTATACACACGTCGCCGTGACACGCATGCAAATCACTGATTCGTGGTGTCTGTTTTGGCACCCGTCCGCTTCCTGTATATGGCGTCAATCCCGTAGCGTGTTTATAGGACACCGTCTCGTGTTCGTGATTTGAATACCTTTCGGACAATGGTCCGGAATAATATTTCGGTGGCAATCTGCCTGATGTGCTAATAATGCTAATGAGTTATGAGACGTCGTTTGGCTGTACAGTTGTACCATTTAATCATCTAGGTTTGCTGTTTCGAAATGAGCATATTGGGACCCGCGTAAGCAAGGTCAAAGCAAACAGTCACGTTGTTTCTTGTCTCATGTTTGGAGGGGTCCGCATGGAGGCTCAAATGCACTAAATGCGTATCTTGAAATAAAGCTCGCGCCACTCAGGTACCAAAGAAAACTGGTCGAAATATATGCTTTTAACAACACATGAAGTCCCTCGGTCAATTTGGAGAGCCACTACTGCAACGCCACTAATCGGAAGTGAGTTTCTATTCCGTGACTTCAGTTTTCCACCTTTGTTACTTGCTCTAATTTAGAATGTCCGAACATTTTCCAGGATATGAACATTCATACTTTATACTAAATGTCTGCATATCCGTGCTTTTCTACTTTTGCCGTCGTGTGTTCCGGCGATCTGGATTCCCTTTCGAGGCAATTCCTTTAACACCAAATTCCTAACGACTATGAAGTGACTGTCTATTTGAGAGGGGCTTCACGAAGAGAACTATGCTTCCAGCAAGTTTTGGGAAGCGTATGCAGCCTTTGGTACACATTCGATCTACACACCGAGGTCATGTAATTCCTGTGAAGCTGTCGGCAGAACGTCATTGTATTTTGTGAGCAAGAGATTATCTGTCCGTGTAGATACAATTAAACGAAGAAGAGTGAAGTCCCGACCATAAAGCTACATGAAAAACATGGATATTAAAACAATGAGTAGTGTATATACGAACATATTGAGGATGTAGCTTTACTCTCTAACGCAAGTTGTGTGCAAAACTAAGGAATAGGGATAATGGCCTTTATGCAAAATGCATTCTTTTTCTGAAGTGCACCAGCAAAATCGCTTACTGAAACTACGCGCTCGCGCGCATACCCATGGGTAGGAGTACCAAGCGTCGCGCCCCTAGTAGCTAAATTGAGGACTACACCGATGGGGACACGGCCTCCGAGTTTTTTCTCGCACATTGCTAAGACCGGGGACGACGGAAAGAATGGGGACAGGGACACACGTCTCAAACTCAGGAGCTGAGTTTGAGACATGTATCTGTCTCCGGTCTTACCAATGTGCAACCTAAACCAGCTCGCCTGTTTACTAGCTTTATATTCATTTTTTTTTTTAACTGGCTACGCTCCTCAGGCCAGTGCATTCGTGCGATAGAGACTGTTACTGTGGGGCGCTTGGTGACGCTCGCAACCAAAGCAAACAATACAATGAAATGGCCGCAAACTATCATCATCACCATTATCCTCGGTCTACGGAACTTAAGAGCAGCGCGAAATGTGCTCCCGCCTCTCGCCACAACACACAGACCCCTTGGCAAGGAAGAAGTTGATCGACATTTGAAGGTTCATCTTTTCAAAGCGCGAAAGGTGTAGAACAAATGTCCATGCACGGAAGGGAAGCTCCGGAAACTGTTCCCATGCACGACGATAAAAATATTTCTCTACATCTTGTAAACACTGAGATGGGGAACGATAAAAAAACGGATTAATTATCAGCTCGCCGGCACTCACTGCTTATATTTCTCTGCCTGTCCCGCCGACCCAGACAGGATCCACAGATTACAAATATAGATTCGCAATATATCTGGCATTCTGAGTTATCATCCAGTGAAACAGCTCAACGACCGAAGTAGCATATGAAAATTTACGAATCAGCAGAGGTCCGCTTCCCTTTCCATATTCTGATGATGAAAACAAGGAATATGCAAGCTTCATGCCGGGGGCTCGCAGTTAACAGTGTGCTTCGATGCGATTTTGTTTCCGTTTCTGGTTTGGTTATAAGCTCCGCTTGCGGAAATCCAGAAATCTGGCTCGGCTCGCTTTTTCTGGTGGGCAGCCGAGCGTTTGGACAGCCCGGAGCAGAGCGCGCGAAAAATCTCGGAGGCCATGATGGGACAACAACGACATACATCGTTTTGACGCAGCGCTCAGCTCATGCAGCCGAATATTACGTCAAAGTTCGGCTGGGGCTCGTGTTCTGTCAGTAAAGGTAAAGCTGAGTAAAGTCGCAGGCGCACGTAGCACTCATGGATTTTTGACTTCATTTTTCTCGACTGAGCGCGGGGAAGCAATTGGCATGAGCCGTTCCCAACCTTTGCAGCGCGCAATCAAGAAAGACGTGCCTTATGTTCGTAAACGCAAACTCCAGGGAAAACAAGCTGGACGTCGCGCCCCCTATAGTTCGATCTCCTTGCCAATACCACTAATTGATAGCGTGCAGCGAGTGTTTTTGTGAAACAAATATAAAAATGCACGCATATGCATGCTCGCACGTCACTCATGTCATGATGTCAATGTCCCACAGGAGGACTTTTAGGCGGCAAAGTAAGCAGGTAGAATGTCGAGTGTACTTTTTGCGCTAAGATATTTCTCACGCACCACACGGCATAACATACGGAAGCACGAAAAAAAAAAAAAAGAATCCCCTGATGCTAGCCAAGTTTCTGACTATCAGACAAGTAAGGCACTACAAAAAAAAAAAAAAATACTTGGTACCGCTTAGTATGTTTGCTTTCATATTTTGAAGGTTACGCGTTGGATAAATGGCTTAGAGGTAAATTACCGCTTATTGACAACCTCGCCTACGTAACAACTAGCTGTAAACTCACATGTGCATAACTATCCGCAGCACATTACTCGGATACACTGAGCAATGCCGCACCCACCACCCACCTGTCGCTACATCCGCACGTCTCAGTGAATAGAACTCACCTTCCATGGCTGCAAAAGTGCGGCTTGCCAACTTCGCATGTATGAGGTTCGTCAGCGCGATACTCGACTTCAACCTGGTATGAAGGAACCACTGCGGCCTCGTACACTTTATGCTACGCCCGGACCAATCAACGCCCGGAACGGGAACCGCGGCGCTAACACGCCCTCGGGGTCCTCGCGATCCTCCTCTCTCCCCAGGGAAGTAGCGTCTTCCCCCGCTGCTCTCGATAAGGCTCGGATAACTGTCGCCGATGCTGCCTCTGCTTGCTGCACGGCTGGCTGCCCGGCGAGATGTGACGTCACGACGCCGGGGCTCTTGTTGTCGACTTGGCCGCGTTAGAATCGCCCTCGTTTCGGACAGGCGTGGAAGTGCTCTTTGATGCCACTTACGAAAGAAGCGGCGGTGACGATCGCGGGCCCAGGGTGACGTCGCACGTTTTGTTTTCGCTGGTAGCAGAGGCTACGTATTGGGTAACAACGGCGTGCGCGGTGCGGGTCGCGGAGGTCTTCCCCGACCTTGGAGCTTTCGGACGAGCCGAGCGGAGAGATACGGCCGAATCTTTTCAGGCCTGCTGAGACGTGCGGCTAGCACGGCGACGCGGGTTCCGGACGAGATAGCGTAATTTGATGTGTCACGGCTCGGCGCTCTGTAATCGCGTGATTGAAGAATAGCAACGAGTTGTGGACTCGTTTATTATACCGCAGTAATTGGGGGAGGGGGACCGCTTCGTGTTTGCTTTGTGTTTCCACTCTGAGATTGGGAGATCTTTTCTTCTACAACCTGCATAAAAATGCGCTCGTGAGTTGCTTTTGGTTTTGAGCAAATGCTTCGCTTTCATTATATTAGTTGGCATGCAAAGTATAGTCTATCAGTAGTTCCATCAAGTGGCCTCAGGAGTACGCGAATGCCCATTTTTCTTTTCTGCATAACTGGGAATGTAAGCTTTTTTTTAAATATTTATTCGGCAGTGTGCACGGACCTGAACTACCCTGGTATTCATCTAAACATGTTTCTCCAAAGAATCCTCATTAATGTTGCATGATTTTCTCATCACTTTCGTGTCAAGAATGGTCCTTAGAAAGAAAAAGTGTAATGAATGATATTTTACTGCCGCAAAACGTAAGCACAAAACACTGCTCGGTAGGCTGAAGAAAAAAGTACGCCCACCCATAATCACAGTTAGATATAACATGCGGGTCCTCGTTTCCCCGTCTGCATAGCGCCCACATAGCAGATGTACAGTGCGCCGCAATATGAAAGACCCACTCGGAGCGCCTGGCCGAGCGCTGCGAGTGGGTGTTTCATATTGCGGCGCACTGTACTTTCAAGCACCACGCATATGGAGTGCAGCGTACTTGTTCTTCCAGATTGCACCGTGTTTCGCAGTGCACGTACTTCCTGGGAATGGAGGGGATGAAAAATCCAGAACCCGCCTGTACAGACAAGTGTGATAAAGGGTAACCGTGAGTGACCTGGAGATAAAGGGCTGTGAATTCCGTGGCACGCGCTTCACATTGTTGAGTGGCTAAGTATAGATATTACACAACGAAAACGCAGAGTCATGCAAGTAAAAGGCAGTGTCGCATCATCATCATCATCATCTCTTTCTGTCGTCTAATGAAGCACACCTCAGCTTTCAATACGTGGACCGCAATCCCCCACTGAAGAGCCCCAAAAAATCCTGTCTTAAATGACCTCCCCCGCCGGTCACAATACGAATGGGTTTTGTATCGGCTTGAGGCCGTGCATGTAATCGCTTCTGCGTGATGCCGCAGTATCCTATTGTCCAAATCATACAACTACAGCGTGAAACCAGTACCGGCAAATCTCAATAGGCAGATCCAACTTTCTCTCCATACGCATACACAGCATCCAAAACACTTAATAGTTTCCACTCGGTATCCAGTAGAGATAAAATAAAAAAAAGCTGTTTAGTAGGGTAGGATATTTATTTTTTCTTTAGTTAGTCTACCTTCGCCCGCGCGCGCTCTGAGGGTAAACGAATTCAACGAAACCATATCCTACCCTACTAAACTAACTAAACAAAAATAAATATCCTACCCCACTAAACAAACAAACACACACACGCACACACACACACGCAGACGCACGCACACGCACACAAGGAAACAAAAGAGGAAAATAAAAGGTAGTTATCAATAGTACAAAAAGCGCGTAGTCAACAATTGATGTTAGCGATACAGGCAGGGGCGGATGCAGGAATTTCCTGAGGGGGGGGGGGGGGGGGGGGGCCGGGTCAGGTGTTGGTCAGCGTACCATATGTTTAGGAACCCCCTCCACCTCTCCACTGTTTTACGCCCTAAATTTTACACATGTAAAAATCAAGAGGGGGGGTCAGGACAGCTCGTCCAAATCCATGTAGCAGCCTTTGAGATGCCTGTAAAAAATTGTAAGGATATGTTATTATACTGAAGTATTTGATGGCGCAAGAGCAGGATAAAGGACATACAGGTACGCTATTCCAGTCATTCCTTATTTGCAATAATAATATAAATATTAGTCTTTTTTTTCTAAATGTTGCTTTTAAACCGTCATTTATTAATTCTAAATCACTCAAATAGAAGCCACGTTAACGCACACACTAATTGCGCGAGTAGATATTTGGAGCAATAGTGCAGTAAAGTCTGCGCTCTATGATGACAAATATCAATTATTTTGCACGAGGGATTCAATAGGTTCGTTTGCACACTTGCAATCAAGTAGAACCGACCAATACAAAACCGGCTTCCAAGCCTCTTGCGACGGCTTAGGGCCAGCTCCGCAGCAGCGCATCCGGTCCGAGGCCATCGCAAGAGGCTTAAAAACCGGTCTTGTCTCAGTCGTTGTCCCACTCAATTGCGAGTGTGTGAACGGGCCTTCAGGCGCTCGGATCATGAAAGTTTGAGTTTCAGAAAAGCTTAGAAAACCTGTAGTGACTTGATAATTATCATCCTATACTCACGCAATAATGTGCTTTGTTTTTTCTTCACGTTTCATCGCAACCGGGAAAGAGAATCGCTTGCGGTAAGGACACACAAACTCGTTATGCTTCGGTCGGCACTGCAATCCTCATGCATACTCATCAAGCTCTGCCTCATCATCAGCTCTAACAAGCAAACACGGAAGGCGGTATATACACAACGATAGCATGCTGACTATTTTTAGACGCGTGCAATGCTCCAAGCTTGCTTCTGACGCAGCCGACCTATACTTTCATGCTTAGAGCCTATAGGCTCTAACCGTGAAAGTATAGGTCGGCTGCGTCAGACGCCGTAAAAGTACACTTTTACGGCTTCGCCTTTAGGTCGCCAGGCGATGTGGAAATCTGATTCGCTCGAGAATGCTGGCGAGTGAACCTGGTGTGAAAACTTTCTATCCTAGCCATTAGGTGCCGTCGATTTTGCAGTAGTCGCCAATTGACAGTGTCACTTTATGTGCGAGCGAAGAAGCTACACGCACGAGCCTGTTAGGGTAAAGTATGTTTGCACTGCAGCGCTGGGGGCGCTGAGATCCCGGACCTTGTAAAGCGCTGAATATCTAGCGGTTTAGGAGCTTGTTTTTGCAGCCTTCACCATGGAGTTATGATATAGGCTAGAGGTTCAACTGGAGCTAGTGTGCTGTCGCAAATTAAAGTAGACAGCAGCCAGTTGGAAATGGACTTCCGGTAATGAATTGTTATGGGAAAAAGCGAGTGCATTTTCACCCTCCGCTCGATTATAAGTGCAAATATCACGAATAATTCGCACGCGCTAGCTAGCTTGGAACATTTCTCAGTCAGGCAGACAAAATAATTGCTTAGTTATTGCTTCTTTATTTCAAATTCGTGACATTAAAAAGGGTGCTGAAACGGCTTCGTGCATGTATTTATGTGCACTGTCGGACACTGTTAGCGCGAACACGGCGTCGGAGCTTTCGACCATGGCGGATATACGTACCAAAAGGAGGAAAGACATCTGGAAAACCAAGACAGACGGCAAGAACTACGCAGTAACACTGGATAGGTAACATCTTGTGCATGCAGAAGATCTAAATTAATTGAAGGCCACGTAATATAGTCCGATTTGCAATAAATAAGTACGGCTTTATTCTTTTAGCTCATGAATATATGCCAGTATGCTTGTTCTGCGTTCAAATGATCACCCGCACGCTCAAAATCTCTGAAAAAAAAAAAAAAAGAAAACGGAAAAAGCCAGAGAACAGGTGCCCAATAAAAGCTGTCTGGCATAAGAATAAATAGAAATACACATTTTTCATAGCGCACATGCTTCATAATCATATGTTTTTAATGTTTGTAACCGGTCGTAAAGATGCACGACGGGGTTATTTTTTACAGTGGCGGAACGTGCATATTAGGACTTTATAACTGCCACCGGAATGCTGGCGAACTTGAACACACTCTACATTCCTTTCTATTGTTATTTTGCGTAGAATCGCCTCTCGTTTTTACATAATGGCCATGGAACCCAAATTGGGCCTGAAATATAACCAAATTCAACATCTTTCACTTGTAAAAAAAAAAAAAAAAAAAAAAAAAAACATTGTTTAATAAAGTTGATAAGCTTTTACAGTGTTAGTAAAGGTATATACCATTCGGTACGACCCAGATAACAAAAGTGATCTACGTTCTTTTTCGGCGAAGAGACAAAATGCACGCGCATTTTCCCATAGCACAGGAGTACCGCAGAAGCTTAGACCAACTCATGCTTAGAAACAAACCGGAGCGCCCCTAGCAGACGCCACCGGCGCCGCGCATGCGTGATGGAGTGTGGGCAAAAAGTTCGCCGTCGCCCGTAAACAAACCATTGGAACGCGATGTTGTCGGCGTCGGTGGGAGTCCTTGTGCTCTTTTTCGCGTTGGATGGTCTCTTCTACGTCTTCCTGACAATGCCCGATTACTTTAGCGGCCTCAGCGAAATTAACGAGGCTCGTTACACTGCAAAACTTCGTTTGAATAATGTGACATGCGGCGATTTGTTCCGCGTGGACGCCGCAGAATCGATGCTAAAACCTTATTCGGACGCTGAGATTCTGCTCGCAATTTTCGGTCATGACGTCGCTCGGGCTGCAAAAGAGTGAACCGTAGCCGAGATGTCGACGTCGATAGTGAAAATCGCAAGCAGAATCGGACCAAGTGAATCAGGCATAACGAGTCGGTGATGGCCACTGGTTACAATTATCGACGTGTGTGTTTGTATCTAATGTTTACACCGGAGCCTATTTATTCTAACCAAGCTTCAAACAAATATATTTTGGCCCTGCGCTTACTTCTTATCGCAATGACCGGAAGTATTGTCTACGGGTCGCTGTCGTTTGAACGAGCAGACGACAACAAGCAGAAACGCTTGAGAGCAGGCGACAATGCGAACGATCAGGCGGCCATTCGTAGTATTCAGGTGTTCCGTACAACCTTGTGGTTTTCCCGCGTTCATGTTAGAACAAAACAAAAGCTACCGCTGATGCGGCAGCGTTTGCCGTTCCAGATCAGGTTATGCTGAAACAGACTGAAAAACAGGGCGAATTCCGAGAGCCTACCATATCCGAACCGAACATACTACACGCTTTCAATCCGCCTCTTTATTTCACGGTGTTGGGTAAGGTACGTACATAAAAAAAGTACTTGAAGTAAAGTACAAAGTAAGTTAGAGGTTATGTACTTCATGTA